AGAGAACGCAGAGTAATGAACCAAGGATCCGAACTTCTGCCTACCATAACGATAGAAGAAGTGAAATGAACTCTAAAGGAAATGAAAAACAACAAGTCTCCGGGATATGACCAAATAGTAATAGAAGCTGTTAAAGTAGGAGGCAAGAAACTGCTGGAAGTAGTAACTGAACTATTCAACCTATGTCTAAACTAAGGTATTGTCCCTACAAAATGGGACAATGCAATTACTATCCTAATACACAAAAAAGGAGATATATCAAACCTAGAGAATTATAGACCGATAAGTCTGTTGTCACATCTCTACAAATGGTTTACCAAGATCATCACAAAACGTTTAGAACGAAAATTAGATTTCTATCGGTCTAAGGAGCAAGCTGGGTGTAGGAAAGGTTATGGAACAAATGACCACCTACAAGCACTTAAAATACTAATTGAAAAATGTGTTGAATATAATAAACCACTCACGTTGATTTTCATAGACTTCAAGAAAGCTTTTGATACCGTGGAATTACCGGCAGTATTAGGAGCATTAGAACAAAGCCGAGTAGACTATAGATATACAAATTTGATAAAACATATATACAACAACGCAACAGCATCTGTTAAACTCTATGACTTTACCGATAAATAAAGAATTGAGCGAGGAATTAGACAGGGCGACACCATCTCCCCCCAACTATTCACTGCAGCTCTGGAATATGCCTTTAAAAAACTAGATTGGGCTAAAAGGGGAATAAATATTGATGGTGAATACTTAAGCCACTTGCGCTTTGCAGATGATATTGTCATTATAGCCGAAAGTTTAAATGAAGCTCACAAAATGATGGAAGAACTAAAACAGGCAATAGAACAAATAGGCCTGAACATAAACTTAAAAAAAACAAAATACATGACCAATTTAGTTCCAAGTGATGTTATGAGGGTAGATGGGAACGAAGTATATCAGGTCTAACCCAAAGAAAAATGGAAAGAGCAATGTTGGGAATAACTAGAAGAGTTATGATACCAAATAGGATAGTTAGAGAGAGGACTAAAGTGACAGATGTCATAGAAAAAATTGCACAAGTCAAATGGAGATGGGCTGGACATATAGCATGTTTAAATGATAATAGGTGGACCAAAAGACTCATAGAATGGAGACCTAGAGAAGACAAAAGACACCGAGGCAGACCACCAAAAAGATGGATGGACGACTTGAGAAAAACAGTCGGAAATTGGATACAGAAGGCGCAAGATAGAGAACAGTGGAAGAACATGGAGGAGACCTATATCCAACAGTGGATGCAAGAGGTTGAGGAATGATGATGATGATGATACAAATATCCACTTCGCAAGGGCTTAAAAAATTTGATGGGTAAAATTTAATATCGCCCGTATCCCAGACGAGCGGTTAAAAAATTACCAGTAAGGCGCGCCTGTGTCTGAGACATGTGTGTATTTGTGGTGTTGAGTTACTGTTTATTTATACTGTATAGTATTTTTTTGTAAAACTAAAACTTTTTATTTGTCATTTTGTATATCTGGTTTTATACCTTTTTCAAGATGCGCTGTGCAGTTGCTTGTTGTAATAGTGACAATGAAGATAAAATCTTTAGGTGCATACATTTCCTAAAGATAGTTTGACCAGAAAACTGTGGATGATATCTTGTTGTAGACAAGATAAGTTTAATTGTAATATTGCAAGAATTTGTTCTAAACATGTCAAAACTGAAGATTACCAAAGAAATCTACAACTGGAACTTTTAAATTACGTTTCTAAAAAGGGTCTCACACTGAAACCTGGGGCAGTACCTAGTCTTTATTTGACTAAATCAAAATTGGCTACCCTTTCAATCAACCAAAAGAAATGCATACAAAGAGCCGAACACAGAGAGTCCAAAAAGTATGTTGAGCAGCTTCTTACCTAAGTCAACGACTTAAGTTTAAATCTTTATTTTTATTAATTATTAGTCATGAAAAATAAAAAATATCAATGCATAAAACAATCAATTTTTATGCATAGAAAGGAAAAACATACTTTTCTTTTCAGTAGGTATAATGGTTTACATTATTCTAAAAGGATATTACTTACCTATCTTTCTAAGAAAATGATAAATAAAACTCACATCAGATGCATCGCAACCATCTGCATGCATGGTCATCATCATCATTAGCCATTTTGCGTCCACTGCTGAACATAGGCCTCCCGTAAATAATTCCATTGCATCCGATCTTGAGCAACTTGAATCCAGTTAGACTGGATGCGCTTTAAATCGTCCGACCACCTTGTTGGAGGACGTCCTCGACTACGATAAGCATCGTGTCTAGGCCTCCACTCTAAAATTTTCTTTGTCCATCTTCCATCTCTGACCCTAGCAACATGTCCTGCCCAGTTCCATTTCAGGGTTGTAATTCTTTCAACTGCGTCCGTCACACCAATTTTTCTCCTTACTATCTGACTCGAAACTCTGTCCCTGAGTGATACGCCCAACATTGACCTCTCCATCGCTCTCTGTGTCACTTGTATCTTATTAATTACTTTTCTGGTAAGTGTCAATGTTTCTGCTCCATATGTCAGAACTGGAAGTACACACTGATCAAAAACTTTTCTCTTCAAGCACATGGGAATAGCTGATTTAAAGACTTCCCTCAGTTTTCCGTAAGCTGCCCATGCCAGTCCTATTCTCCTTTTTAACTCTGTTGTTTGATTGTCTCTTCCCAATTTAATCTCGTGGCCCAGATACTTATAGGAATACACTTGTTCAATTTGCGTGCCATTAGTGGAAATGTTTTTTGCCAGTACCAGGTTGGTCATGTATTGTGTTTTGGAAAAATTAATTTTAAGGCCAACTCGTGCATAAGAGCTCTGAAGGTCTTGAAGAAGTTGGCATGCATGATCTACCTGATCTGCAATAAGGACTATGTCGTCTGCAAACCTCAAGTTGTTCAAAAATTCCCCATTTATATTTAATCCAATATTTTCCCAATTATTTTTTCTCATAGCACTCTGTAATAGGGCGGTGAATAGTTTAGGAGAGATAGTGTCTCCTTGCCTAATACCTTTCTCCAAGGGAAATGTGTCTGTGTCACCATAGTACATTTTTACAGCAGCTGTTGCGCTATCATATATATTTCGAAGAAGAGTTGTGTACCTATGGTCAATACTGCACTCTGTAAGAGCTCTTAACATGGAGCTATGCTGGACTGAGTCAAATGCTTTCTCAAAGTCTACAAATATTAATATCAATGGCTTGTTGTATTCTATAACTTTCTCTATCAAGGATTTTATTACTTGTAGGTGGTCATTTGTTCCAAAGCCACTCCTAAATCCGGCCTGCTCTAGAGGTTGATGAAAATCTAGCTTAGGTCCCAGTCTGTTAGTAATTATTCTCATAAAGAGTTTATATAAATGAGATAATAAGTTGATAGGTCTGTAGTTGCCAATTTCTGTTACATCTCCTTTTTTATGCAATATTATCATAATGGCATTATTCCATTTTTCTGGCGTATTTCCTTCAAAGAGGCAGGCATTATAAAGGGTTTTTAAAGCCTTTATGACGCATGCATGGTATCTGGCATTAATTCACTACTTGTTTTAGTCTTAATAAAAATATATGTTATTTTTTCAGTCAACTCAAAGTTCAAGCTCAAGAAGGATATTGTGGTCAACTTAATATTGAAGATATACTATGAACATCTAAGTCAATAGTGTATGTTAATAATAATATTAGTCATGAAAAATAAAAAATATCAATGCATGAAACAATCAATTTTTATGCCTAGAAAGGAAAAGCATTATTTTCTTTTCAGTAGGTATAATGTTTTACATTATTTTAAAAGGAAATTACTTACCTATCTTTTTAAGAAAATGATAAATAAATCTCACATCAGATGCATCATAACCATCTGCATGGATGGTAGCTTAATCAATTCACTACTTGTTTTAGTCTTAAGAAAAATATATTGTTACGAAAGATTTATCCCACATAGGAAATACCTCACATCAGATGCATCACAACCATCTGCATGCTTGGTAGCTGGCATCAATTCACTACTTGTTTTAGTCTTAATAAAAATAATATGCTATTTTTGCAGTCAACTCAAAGTTCAAGCTCAAGAAGGATATTGTAGTCAACTTAATATTGAAGATGTACCATCAACATCTAAGTCAATAAGGTATGTTCATGATACTATAGTATGTTAATAATAATTCCAGTAGCAACTTGATTGTTTTCTAAAACTTATTTAAAACAGTATGCAAACTAATATGCTTAATTTTTTAGGGTAAACACTAATCCTACCAATGAGGCTTTGGAACTTGCAAATTCGAAAGAAAAAATTAAACTTTTAAATGAACAAGTAGCTGAACTACTTCAGATAAAATCAGCAGTAGAGAAACTTTTTACACCGAGACAATTAAAACGTTTGCAAAACCCAAAAGTTCGTACCGTATGGTCTGTGGAAGAAATTTTATTTAAATACCGTTTATTTTTATTTATAATTAAACATTATAATAACATCATTTTATCATGTCTTTATAATTACTATAATTAAATTAGCCAAATTATATAAAAAAAACTTAAAATTAAAAGTCTTTACTATACAACTACATTCAAATGTTGCGGGAATAAGCGGTCTTTACTACGTCATGCGCGAAAGCGAACCGATTTTAGAACATTATGTATCATACCTCTTGTATTCATTGTACCATGAATTATCATAACTAATTTAATTATCTTCGAGACCACCAGAGGGCAAAAGTCAACCATGGATTACATAACCACAAATCGAAATATTCACCACTCGAAAATATTAGATGTAAGGGTTCTAAACTTGATAAACACAGGAACCAATCACGGCCAAGTATCAGCTAAAATATCTCAAACAAAACTTAAAACAAGCCCGTAACTGTTTAAAAATTCAATATGATAGAATCCAGTGAATCCTTTTTTCACTGGAATATATAAGCTGACAATATTTGGCTTAAACTGTAATATGAGTAAAAATTTTAATACTTACTTTAGTGCTCAACACATTAGTAGTTCCTACACGACGAATAGGAATTGCTGAACCTTTCTTAACAGGTATATCTGAAAGAGAGACAATAAAAAATTGTTTGAAATTCCAATAATTATGTACGTGTATGTTCGGTTGTTCCGTGTGAGTCAACTATACAAATATGATGTTCTAATCAATATGACCTACCAACCATGGTGTATGCGCTTAAGATGAAATAGAATAAGGTAATAATCCTAAACAAAACTTTATTAACAAAAAATGTTGATGAATTAAATGGAATATTGTTTTTAAAGTAAATTTAACAAAAAAAAAAACAATGAAATATTTCTTTTGTTAACCAGAAAAGCCTAATAAAATTTTGTTTGTCAAAATTTAATTCGGTTTACAACTTATCACTTCATTATCATTTTTAGAGCAAATTTTACACCGTGCTCCTTTAGCTGGCAGATTCGTATTGGCCATTAGAATTTTTATTTTGTCAGTTGTGCTCTTTTTCCAGTTTCTATGAGTCTTTGGTTCTTTTTGTATTGTTTCTGGAAGTGATGAGTGGATCCACCAGTATTTTTCCCAATTTCTCAAGAAAAATTTGTCGTTTCGTCGGATTGTTGATATTTCATTCGGATTTATTGATGCCTATAAAATGAAGGGCGATTGTTATATTGGGGGTTTCAATACGAGAAAAGATTCCAAACCACCAGCTACGACGAAGGTCAGGAGTGGCTGATGCTGTAGATAGAAGAGACTAGTAGGTCACGTGACTCGAATGACAGATAGATGTACAAAGTGGATACGGAAATGGAGATGAAGAGCTAATGCCTACCAAAGCAGAGGTCATCCACCGACAGGTTGGACTGACGATCTAAAACATTGCCGTATGAATTGGATGCACGGGGCACAAGATCGAAACAGATGGAAAATTATGAGGAAAGTCCAGATGTGGACAAGCGAAAATTGAATGATGGTAAAATGAAAGCATTACAGGCGAAAATGTACAGCATATTATGAAAAACAATAATTGACTAGCGATTTGTCTCCTGGCTTCCTCTTATATGTATTTCAATTTGTTGGAGGAATCGGTTACTAGGCAAATAGAAAACCAGTTAGTTTTACTGTAGTATTTAATAAGATTATTTTTTGTTGCTGTAGAAGAGTTTTTCAAATTGAATTCCTCTTCATTTTTTTGATCAGTATTAATTTCATATTCATAGAACATATTTTGTCGAAGGAGTCGAGTAATAAATTTATGTCCATAACCATACTGGGAAGCTTGACATACTTTTCTCCTCCTAGAAACTCTGTAACTTTTTTTGCAGTTTTTAAGAAACCTTTTATTGGTTTTAGTGAATCCCATTCTGCCTCTTGAATTCTTAATGTTATTAATTTTGAATTGTTGACACAGAAGAAAGTAAGAAAAAAAAGTTCTTTCTATTTATCACATTCATGGTTGGATTCAAAGGTATCATCATATGTTGGAGTCACCGCAATGTCTTTTAATTTAATAATTTTCTTTTATTCTAAATCTATTAATTATGTTTCGTCAATATGAATTATTAAAACAGAAAATCTTTTAATTGCTATAAATAGTTTACGTTGAAAACATAATGCAGATACTTGTATAACAGTAATTACTAAATCATCCCGATAATAATATAAGTGCAGTTTTTGCTAGACAAGCGGGGGGCGTCCGATGAGACAATGCGCCAGTCCCGTCCCGCAGAAAAATCGCTGTCCCGCGTAAATCCTTAATGTTTATACAATTTACTACTTTTTCTGGCTTGAACTGTAACTTATTGAAAGGCACTGTGCAGATACATAAAAAATTCACTGTACAGTGTCGTGCCTTCATTTGCGTGATATTCACTCTGTGATTTTACACCTTTGTTGATAAAAAATACATTTTGTGGACATACCTTAGCTAGTAGCATGACTTTTAAATAATTATAGTTGCAATAGTAAAAAAAAATAAAAATAAATAAATTTCGCTGAAATATCCAAAAAAGATGTCATGTAAAAATAAGATGCCATTATTAGTTTATTGTTTGATGAATGTATACAAGAAAATGATGTGAACCTAATGTTTAAAGAACATTCAAAATATTCCTAATATATATTATATGATATGACATATGATAGGATTATTATACATTTAAATTCAAAAAGATGCATTTTCCAGAACACCTCGGATAGTCACAATTTTATAACCCTTTGTATGACCATGGCATAATTCTCCTATAGAAACCTAAATAATTGCTTTTAGATTATTTTAAATATATTATAAAAAAAACTAAGCATTTTTTCTTACCTATTCTAACACATCAATTTTACATTTAATACATTTCTCAACTTTTGTCAGTATTCTCGGTTCACAATTTGTTGATAGCACGAAATATGCCTTAAAATCATAAAACGGTCGTTAAATTTGTATCATCATAGGCGTTCCTGAGGTGTTTATTCATTAAAATTAATATTAATATTAATAATGTTTTAATACTAATATATTTAGCAAAAAACAATTAAAACTTTCACGGCTAATGTTGGTTATTATATTATATTAATAACAATAATAATTTAACCGTTAACAATTTTGTAAATAAGAATACCTTATCTCTTTGGATATTTCAATACTAATCTTCGCGTTTAATCACTTTACTGGAAAACCTGGTATTCATACCAGAAGAAATTATCTAAGATCTATACGAAAATTCCGGGCTGAAGGAAGGCCAACCTTCTACCAGGATGAAACGTGGGTAAACTCAGGTCATACTCTAAAAAAAATTTGGTCAGATAAAAATATATTAAGCTCCAGGCAAGCCTTTATGGAAGGTTGGTCTACTGGTATCTCCCCACGTTGGCAGTGAAAAAGGATTTGTTAAGCATGATTTGTTGGAATTTCAGTCCAAAATCACAAAAGACTATCAAGAGGAGATGACAGCTAATGTTTTCGAAGAGTATTTTGTGCAGATGATTGAACACATACCACCAAATTCAATTATAGTATTAGATCATGCACCTTATCATTCACGACTAGTAGCAAGACTTCCAACGACTGCGTGGAAGAAACAGGATATTCTTGACTGGCTGCGGAATAAGTATCTGCCTTACGAAGATGGAATGGTAAAAGCAGAACTTTTAAAAATTGCCCGGCAATACAAATCTAAGATCAAGAAATACGTAGTTGATAAAATGGCGGAAAGGCGAAACATCACAGTCCTTAGACTTCCACCCTACCACTGCGACACAAATCCAATTTTAACTCATTTGGGCACAAATGAGAAGTTATGTGGCTAGAAAAAATACGTCATATAAAATAGAAGCTGTACGTGAATTGTTATACGAATCTTTACAACAAATTAGAGAACAAAACTGGAAAGATGCAGTAAGACATGTAATAGAAGAAGAACAAAACACGTGGGATCTTGATAACATAATTGATGCGACCGTAGAGACACAACCGCTAATTATTAACCCTCAAGACGACTCGGATTCTGAAGTTGATCCTATTTATTTTGAATTTGAATAGTTTTCTAATCGTAATTATATAAAGTAAGTAATAGTAGTTGTAATCGTAAGGTATTAAAGGGAAAGGCGCAAAATGTCGCCTGTCAAAATGTTCAAGGTGTTTTAAATGTATCCATTTTTTTTTCAAATACTGAGAAAACTAAAAAGCATTTTTGAAAAATTTAAAGGCAGAATAAATAAAAAGTTTCTTTTGCATGCAATATTTTCAATTAAGAATTATACTATATTTTCTCTTTTATTTTCACCCCTGTTACATAATATATTAAAATAAACATTGTAGAAGTTTTCACGGACTTTCTGCCCTCAGTAATTAATGTAATCTTTCATTCTGCGTTTAAATTTTTCAAAAATATTTATTAGTTTTCTCCGGATTCGAAAATACTGGATACATTTAAAACACATTGAAAATTTTGCCAGGCGACATTTGGCACCTTTCCCCTTAATTAAATAAATGTATCTTTTACAGATGGCAAGAAACTTAATAAGTTTTATTAAAACAAAAATACAATTTAAAAAATATATTTATTTTGTTCAAATAAATGTTTGAATCATATACTCTACGACACTGCTCGGCCAAAATACCTTTGTAATCGGATTATAAGGCTGACCGCTGTATTGTATTCCTACAGATACAAGGTGGGTTAGTCGAAAACATCTTAAACCGTCAGTTTCAGGTTGGTTTTTACTATTATATCGTATTACCTGTCCTCTCTGTATTTCAGTTCTCTAATTAGGATTAAACTTGTAGTGAGCTATCAACAAATTGTGAACCGGGTATATATTTTATTATTATATATTTTCAAGAATTTAATCATAATATATTTAATCATGTTTAATAATAAAATGTTTGATAGTGATTAAATGTTCCTAATTTTATTTCATTGTATATTTAAACTTTTAAAATATAAATCTATGATTTTTGTCACACAGTCCACGATAAAACTACCTTTTGAAGTAGGTATGTTAAATTAGTAGGTCAACTCATATTTCTTACCTTTTGTATTAATGCTTGTTTCCACATTTATCTTTGATGAAGGAACTAGGACTGGTCTAGTTGCTAAAGTTTTTGTTTCAGTAGCAGGGGGATATTTAAATGTTTGTACCTATAAAATGAAAGGGCGCTTATGAGCATTGGAGGCATTGAAGGTAAATATAATACATAAATATATTATTAAAGATATAGAAGAAAATAAAATAAATAAATAAATAAAAAATCAGAGGTATGTTCATATACTGTATTGAAGCACTGCGTGACAAATAATCCAAAAAGACCTGATACGAAAATTAAAGAAAACGTTCTAAATAAACCAAAAACAGTCAGTGTGAAATACACCATAACACGTCGAGAGGATCAATTCCTGTTTGTAAAAAACATTCGTAGCGATACTGGACTAAATGTGAACTAAATATATCGACTGTGGAAGATGTATAATTTTACAACGGAGGAACATCTAAAAGTAAGACAGCGCTTCTTCAGAAATATTTTTGTACGACAATATAACATTAATTTGGGATCACGAAAAGTTGATCACAATGTTTCCAATTTTCAGAAAAAATTAACAAAATCACAAACCCAAAAGAAAAAATAAAGATAATGACAGAACAGCGCAAATAAAAACTGCGTATTAAGCGTTTTATGAGTTATTAAGAGAAGACAATCGCACAGTAGCAATATTTTCCTTTGATTGCCAAAAGAATCTACCACTACCAAAGATTTCAGATCAGGCCTGCTATTTTAGTATGCAAATAAATTTGTACAATTTTACAGTTGTAACTGGAAATTCAAAGCCCCCACTTAATCCTGAATCAGTAAAATCGTTTATATGGACAGAGAATGATCGGCAGAGGAGTTCAAATGAGATTGTTTCCGCTGTTTATTACACATTGACAAACTTTCATTTTGATGAAGGGGTAGAGAGATTGCGTTTAGTGGCTGATGGTTGTGGAGGCCAGAATAAGAATATCACAATGGTTGGAATGGTTCGATACTGGCTACAATGCTGTGCTCCACATCATATAAAGTATAAATTGAGTTGGGCGGGGTGATAATATGACTGGGCATTGAGATAATGGTTTGTACGAGTGGGTTTCCGGTACATGGAATAGGAAAAACTGTGAGGTGGATTTTTCTGAATAAGAACATCAAGGAATGGCAAAGACGCTTAAGACTCAACTTCCATCGTGAATCCATTTAGGTGGGAGAAGAAGAGATTTAATGTGTCGTATTAAATAGTATAAAAATATTTATTTATCTAAATCATTTCAACCCACGAAGTTTCATTTTACAATAAAATTTGAAGGGATTTTGCATTTCGCTAAATAAGTCCAACGCATATTTTTCAAAATAACTTGCTTTAAAATTATGTTGCCAAAAAAAAAATATGCAAAGAAATTGTTTAGCAAATTAATTTCAAATGTTAAAATTACCGGCATAAAAATAAAACGTGCATCGTCTTATTGGAGCGCATTACAGATTAGATCAATTTAAGCAGACAATATTTGTCTTAAACTGTATGTATTCGTAAAAATTTTAATACTTACGGCTGCTTTTGAAAGAGTAGTAGCTCCTAACTGATTAATACGAATTATAACTGGTTTTTTTGATGGTTGGTCTGAAAAAGAGACAATAAAAAAATTGTTTGAAATGCCAATAATATGTACGTGCATGTCAGGTTGTTCCATTGTCTAGGCGAGTCAATGAAGCAGTAAACACCCCAAAACCAACCAAATGTTTGTAGTAGGATGGATGGCAATGAAACTTTTTGCATGCGATTCGTATGTCAGGAAATTTTGTGAACAAAAATGATGACGTGGAAATGAAATTTGTATTATTTAACAAGGAAAATGCATTTTCCAAAGCGCATTTCGAAGTGATGAAAAATGATAAAGGTGTAATTCAGAAATAATTAACAGAAATAAGTTCAATATTACTACTGGGGAGTTTTTAGGGTCACTGAACACGAATATTATGACGGCGATGATCGCCAAGGTACCTGGTGCACGTGGTAGCAGTGTGCTGTTGTTTTTGTAAACTAGATACAAAATCAGTGTAAATAGCATAACGAATATCATAACGAATATGGCCTCCGATGGACAAAGTCCAAGAGACCAGGCCTATCCTGCACACAATCTGCCTCGGACTCCCTCACCGGCATGATATTAGTATTCAGCGACTCCAGCCACCGAGTATCGAGTTTACACTGATTTTGTATCGAATTTCCACAACAGTCTTGGAGACGGGGGTTTTAGGCACTCTTTGCATTATATCTTCAGCACCCTGAATCCAGTTGTGCTGAATGCGCTTGATGTCATCTGACCACCTTGTTGGAGGACGTCCTCGATTACGATAAGCGTCGTGTCTAGGTCTTCATTCCAGAATTTTCTTCGTCCACTTTCCATCTTTTAATCTGGCAACATGCTCCGCCCAGTTCCATTTCAATGTTGTAATACTTTGAACTGCGTCAGTAACACCAGTTTTTCTCCTAACTATTGTATTTGATACTCTGTCTCTGAGGAATATATTCAGCATTGACCTCTCCATCGCTCTATGTGCCACTTGTATTTTATTGATTACTTTTCTGGTAAGGGTCAATGTTTCTGCTCCATACGTTAGAACTGGAGTACACAATGATCAAAGACTTTCCTATTCAAGCACATGGGAATATCTGATCTAAAGACTTCTCTCAGTTTTCCGTAAGCCGCCCATGCCAGTCCTATTTTCCTGTTTAGCTCAGTTGTTTATTATCTCTTCCTAATTTAATGTCATGGCCCAGATATTTTTAGCTATACACCTGTTCAATTTGCGTGCCGTTAGTTGAGATGTTTTTCGCCAGTACAAGTTTGGTCATATATTGTGTTTTGGAAAAACTAATTTTAAGTCCAACTCGTGTACACGAGCTCTGAAAGTCTTGAAGAAGCTGGCAGACATGATCTACCCGGTCTGCAATAAGGACTATGTCGTCTGCAAATCTCAAGTTGAAAAAGTCAGAAACTCTCCATTTATGTTGACTCAATATTCTTCCAATTATTGTTTCTCATAGCACTCGGCAACAAAGCGGTGAATAGCTTAGGAGAGATGGTATCTCCTTGCCCAATACCCCTCTCGAAGGGAAATACATTTGTGTTGCCATAATACATTCTAATTCCAGCTTTTGCGTTATTATATATATTCCGAAGAAGAGTTGTGTACCTATGATCAATACTGCATTCTGTAAGAGCTCTTAACATGGAGCTATGCTGGACTGAGTCAAACACTTTCTCAAAGTCTACAAATATTAATATCAATGGCTTGTTGTATTCTGTAACTTTCTCCATTATAGTCTAGGCGGGATCTGTTTTGGATTGGAAATTTTCGAGGGAAGCTATTTTTTTGCTGGAATCCCTTCAGGATATGCCCAGTATCGATAATCACGATATGCGCCAGTCGCAAACCCTGTGCTACATTTTTTTTTAACAAAATCTGAAAACAATTGAAAATTTCTCATTTTTTTGCTCCTATTTTCATTTATATATCGAAAAATATTGATCTTAGAGAAAAAATTATAAGTAGTTAAAAGTTTCGTTATTAAATTTTACACAATATTTTGTTAGCTAGAAATTGAAAATTTAATGTTTATTGTTGAAAAAATAGCAATAATTGGAAAAAAAAGTACAAAAAAATGAAGTTAATCCTTTAAATGTTTTCGACTTTCTAAACTTGACTTACAAGTTCCATATTCCGATTAGAAAAACTTTTTAATATGTTTAAAACGTGTGCTAAATTTTGTTAAGATCGGTCGGATAGGTTTTGCATAATAATTGTGCAATCCAGCCTACTGGAAAAAAATCGCAAATTTTCAAATTCATAGTAGGCCCTAAATAAGGCCTTCAGAGAGTTGCAATTTTTTTTTACATATAAAGGAAGTCTCACACTTTCAAACGCTTTTTGTAAAATTCAAATCGGTTTACTAGGAAAGCCTATAAATTTTTTTAAAATTATAAACATTTTTTAGGCTTATAAACAAATTAAATACCTTTACGAGCTTTAAACATATCAATTTCAAAATATATACACTTAAAGAACATTAAAAGACACTTCTTTTAAGAAACAAAAAGATACATTCGGCTTACTGGTTGCCGAGATATTGAAGGTCAAAGTTGGTATACATTTGCCGTGTAACCATAAGTGATAGAGGGCTCGTTTTTAAACAAATACCCTCGTCTTGCCAAATACTTTTTATATGAAAAATTTTACGTAATGCGCTTCATGTCAACATCCATAAAAAAGACAAATAAAAAACCGTTTTCGCGTAAAATGTCGCTCGGAATCCATGAGAGGTGATGGTGAGGGACAATCACTTCAAATGTGAATCAGCGAGTATCAAGTAGGGGACCATCACTTTGTTTAATTTCGGGTTTTGAAATATAAACAAAAGTAAAGTGCTCCAAAATCTGTAAGGGCTTGTAAAGTTAATTGTTACTTTTAGTAAACAAATATGTATTTATAAATTGTTAATAAATAATTTGAATTGTTAAAACGAAGGAAATTTTTTTTTGTAAAAATCAAACATTTTAAAATAATTAACATTAAAAATAATTTATTTCTGCAGTTTTATCATAATAATGACATTATTTGATTTGAGAATATATTTTGATTCGAAAGTGACGTGTATATTGTATATTGACGTGTTATTATACTGCTGTGTAATGCTCGAAATTGTTTTTTTTTTTGAGCTTGCAATTTATACATTGAAGTAAATTGTTACTTTTAGTAAACAAATATGTATTTATAAATTGTTAATAAATAATTTAAATTGTTAAAACAAAGGCGAATGAAACAAAAATTTTCTTTTCATAAATAATCTTTATTTTGACTCAATCTTCAATAATTTTTTTTAAGTCTTTTTCTTTTTCTGGAAGGACAAGAATCTTTAGGTTTTATTTCTTCCTCAAAACCTTCATTTTCCATTTCAATATCTTCATCCTCGATCTGTAAATTTAATGTTTCTTCTCCTTCATCTGTAGCTATATCTTGTGCCTCCAAAAAATCTAAGGAATCCATCGACTCCATATCCATATCTCGTTCAACTTCTTCCAATATTTTATTGTGATCAATATTTTTACATGTTTGACCATTGCAGTGAAGACAATAGTCAGAACATTTGAGACCATGTTTGATACAACTGAATGTTTTTGTACAAAGTTTTTTACATTTGCAACTAATATTTCTGAATAATGAGTCAGGTAGTAATACTTGCTCAGTTTGTATTGGCTCAAGACCATTTTGAGTTAGTTCCCACCCCCACTCAGTAGCATTCAGGTTATTTCCAAGCCACTGCTGTACTTGGAAATATACACGAAGCGAGTGTTGCTCAGCTGCAGATTGTGTAGGTGGCAGCATGGACAATTGAAAATTTTTATTTTTGCAACCTTTTTTAAAGCACAAGTAGCGAATTTTATTCAATGTAAAATCGCACTTTGAGTGGCCCATATACAATGCCGATATAATTTTGCATCCGCTGCGTTTAATTTCTTCCTTAGTTGCACTTTTTTCATTAAAAATGGTTGCTTCTTGCCATATATAATTATTTGTTGAAACCAATTTAACAATTTTGCTTTTTCCTTGATAAAAAAATGCAGAGGTTGCATCACAACCAGAAAATGCGTGTAAAAAGCCCACTAAATTTTTTAACGAAGATTTCGTAGATTCACTTATTTTAAGTACATTATTGAAAGAGTTGTAGTTATAAATTTCTTCCGATTTTTTTCCTTTGCTAGGTTTCCAGAAAAAAATATTTTTATTTTCAGTTACTTTTTGTAAAAATATTACCAGAACATCAATATCCTCTGCAATTATAAAAACTGGCTTGTTATCTGAGACTAATATATACTTGATACTCGCCGATTCACATTTGAAGTGAATGTCACTCATCACCACCTCTCATGCATTCCGAGCGACATATTACGCGAAAACGGTTTTTTATTTGTCTTTTTTATGGATATTGCCATAAAGCGCATTACGTAAAACTTTTCATATAAAAAGTATTTGATAAGACGAGGGTATTTGTTTAAAAACAAGCCCTCTATCACTTATGGTTACACGGCAAATGTATGCCAACTTTGACCTTCAATATCTCGGCAATCAGTAAGCCGAATGTATCTTTTTGTTTTTTAAAAGAAGCGTCTTTTAATGTTCTTTAAGTGTATACATTTTGAAATTGATATGTTTAAAGCTCGTAAAGTTATTTAATTTGTTTATAAGCCTAAAAAATGTTTATAATTTTAAAAAAAATTATAGGCTTTCCTAGTAAACCGATTTGAATTTTACAAAAAGCGTTTGAAAGTGTGAGACTTCCTTTATATGTAAAAAAACTTGCAACTCTCTGAAGGCCTTATTTAGGGCCTACTATGAATTTGAAAATTTGCGATTTTTTTCCAGTAGGCTGGATTGCAAAATTATTATGCAAAACCTATCCGACCGATCTTAACAAAATTTAGCACACGTTTTAAACATATTAAAAAGTTTTTCTATGCGGAATATGGAACTTGTAAGTCAAGTTTAGAAAGTCGAAAACATTTAAAGGATTAACTTCATTTTTTTGTACTTTTTTTTTTCAATTATTGCTATTTTTTCAACAATAACCATTAAATTTTCAATTTCTAGCTAACAAAATATTGTGTAAAATTTAATAACGAAACTTTTAACCACTTATAATTTTTTCTCTAGGATCAATATTTTCCGAATTATAAATGAAAATAGGAGCAAAAAAATTCCAAGCAAAAAAATAGCTTCCCTCGAAAATTTCCATTATGGTCTGAATTTCTACAGATGCCGCCTAGTCTATTAAGGATTTTATTACATGTGGTCATTCGTTCCAAAGCCACTCCTAAATCCGGCCTGCTCTAACGGTTGGTGAAAATCCAGCTTAGGTTCCAGTCTGTTAGTAATTATTCTCATAAAGAGCTTATATAAATGAGATAACAAGCTGATAGGTCTGTAGTTTCCAATTTCTGTTACATCTCCTTTTTTGTGCAATATTATCATAATGGCACTATTCCATTTTTCTGGTGTAACTCCTTCAAAGAGGCATTCATTATAAGGGGTTTTTAAAGAAAAATTATTAAAATCCTTTGTAAAAGGTATATATTTAAAAACCCAAACGGGCTATGTTAGACAAAACGTTTTCGGAATCCATATTCCATCATCAGTGTCTAGATGTACATGAATTTAGCCACTAAATATGTGGGTAAAAACCCGTTAAAAATAATTAGTTAAATTTGGTTTACATTACAAAGTGTTAAAGTTACCGTTGGATTAGGTAACACGGCGACATATGTCCGGAGATTCTTAGCACCCTCTGTCCCTCTACCTCTGTGGCTGCTACAATAGCCTAGTTTTAAAGGACTGCCAGAGACTGAGGGCCTTGCGTCTTCATCGTTTCTCATTTTATGGGGGTTCATGGCCGTTAATTTGTTTTAATATTTCATTGTATATTTCTTTTAATCTATAAATCTATGATGTATTGTGACTTTTGTAAAACAGTCAACATCGTGTAAACACGATGAAATTACTTTTTGAAATAGGCATGTAAAATTAGTATGTTAACTCATATTTCTTACCTTTCGTATTAATGTTAGTTCCAACTAAAATATTTGTCTTCGTCGTTGGAACCAACACAGGTCTAGTTGCTGAAGTGTTTGTTTCGGTTGTAGCGACATATTTACATTTTCGTACCTATAAAATGAAAGGGCGCGTATGAACATTGGAGGCATTGAAGATAAATATAGGGTAAAGTAAGGTATATTCGTGATAATTATAGGTTATTTAATTAATGCGATTAATTTTATACCGTAAAAATATTACCAAAAGGGAGACTTATCAATCAGTAACAACTTAAAGTTACTATTTTGTGTAAAATATTATACAGTTGAATAATTTATATATTTTTTAAAATTTTGTTCAGGTAAGATAATTTAATATAGATAATTTAATAATTTCGTGATATGGATATTCAATTTCGTGATATAGGTAAGGTAAGTTCGTGGCAATCCAATTTGTGCGCATAAAATTGTTTTTTATAATAAAAATTCATTTATTAGGTAATTTCTTAACAAATCAAAACAAAGTTAGAATTCTCTAACATAAGAAAAGTTAATCCAGATTTTGAAAAAATAAAACAAAACTAAATTAATTAAAAACAAAAACAGGTGGTAGACAAATAACTTAATCTTTTTTAGAATCATTAATGGTGTCTTCATTGTTTCCACACATGTCGCACGTAAAAATGTCCTCTTCGGTATCCAACGATTGGCACATAACATGGTATGGAATCATGCAGTAGGAACACTGAACCCATTTGGCACCATTTTTTCTTTTGACATCTAGTGAATAACTATTACCACACATTCCGCAGTCCCAGTCATTATCTTCAGAAACCACTTTCTTAGGTTTTTGATTGGTTGGGGCTAGAGCACAGGATAATGACGTAGATGGTGCATGAATTGGTGAAGAAGGATTGCGGCCTAATACGCATGGTGATGACGTAGATGCTGTATCGCTTATTGGAGAAGGCACAACACTTTTAGAATTAAGGCACTTTGCTCTTGAATGGCGTTTCTTTCTATTCGGATTTCCAGCAACTGGCTTTGTTGGTAGAGACAATATGTTGCCAAATGGATTTTGTTGAGTAGGAGCTCCTGCACAATAATTAGGTATCTCATTAGAAGTGAGTAGAGAAGGTGAAAGAGCTTCCTTAGGAATGGCATTTCTATCAAAGAGGCATATCCCAGATTTTCTGAACGCATTTGTAATGTTTAATGCGGAAAAACTTGAAATGTATGCCGGATTCAGTATGGTGTGAAAGTTGGTTCTATTGGGCTTCTCTGCATTGTCTTTCATATAAGCATTTAAGCTTTTGGCCCAATGAGTCTCTAATGACTTATTTACACCTACATCAAGTGGGTTGATGTGTGATGCATGGGAATCCATTAATAAAATTACTGGTCGGGCAGAGGGAATTCAGGCAACAAAGAATTGAAACCACTTCAAAAAGATCTCACTATTGATCCATCCTTTTGGAGAAAGTTTTACTTGTGTATTTGGTAGGTAATCTTTCTTTAAATTATCGTTCCATCGAACCCCTTTGAAAATTATCAACGGTTCAATCCATGTTCCATTGGCACAAATACATCCCATCATGGTTTGAGATTCGCCTCTATCCGCATAAGCTCTTTTGTAAACATAACGTTTTCCAACCGAGGTAACGACTTTACTTGGTTTGACCAAATAAGTTCCGGTTTCATCGCAATTCCAGAGACGATCGGGATTATTCTGAACTCCAAGTCTAACAATTAATGTTTCTAATTTTGTATAAAAATCACCCAGTATTTCATTATTTGACATTGAAGTCCTGTATCTAGCCAAATTTTCAGGAACACGCAAGTCTTAGATTGAATTGCTTTTTTTACAGAGCCCACCACCATTTACCAGCAGACTTGTTTTCTTTATTGAAGAAGTGATCTCTCTCTTTCTTATCATCTGCACCGTCAAACCAAAACCCAATTCTTGCATTTTTATAATGTAATTAAACAACTGAGTTTCAACTTCTGCAGTAAGAGCAAACGGCCTTCCTAGTTTGGCAACTTGGTGATTGTCATCTTCATTTCTACTTAAAAAATCTTTCAGTGTACTCCAGGCTATTCCACTTTGTTTACTTGCTCTGTAGATGGATAGTTTATCTACTCTTACAAGTTTTGAGGCTTCTAATAAATCGGAGATTTCATATTGGCGATATTATCCTTTGGATATTTTAGACACTTTGAATTCTGAAAAAAAAAAGACACAGATAAGATCGTGATACCCTGGATGTTAGAAAATCTTCATAATATTTATTATTGAATATTGATAATTCACGTATTTATTATATCTATGATAAAAATCCAAATAAAACTCGATTACTAAACTAGAGTAAATAAGAATAATTAGCTACATTTTACCGCGCAAACAAACGTTAAAATTTATAAGAAAACCGCCTCACAACTTAAGCTATTGCAGAAAACTGTTGGCGAAAATTGCCTGTATAACTTAACAGGGATACTAGGCAGATTATAATCAACATCATACGTAATTTTTACAAACTTACCTTTGCAATATTCACTATAAATAATAAAACAACGAATGCACTTCAGATTTCAAGCTCTCTCTACAACACAAGGAATAACACTGAAAAATAAGTTTTATCCCGGTTCAACAGAGCTTCGAAATTTGACTTGCAGTGGTGGGGAAGGTTGTCGAATCTTTCCGCTAGAAAACTGCAACAAAACTGCTGTTATAATGCAATAGGCTAGATCGTGACGACTTATTAGAAATTTATCATGAACTTACCTATATCACGAATATTCCGTACTTCACCCTACATAATATATAAATATAGAAGAAAATAAAGAGCAACAGTATTAAGTTATATTCAGCTTAGTTCTCTGTAGAAAATGATTACTACCCTACTACCCATATACTCTGCCCTCGTAAGGAAAACCACAGCATCTGCACTACTTATAATAATGAGTAAATGGACTTTAAAGAATCTGCAACTTTAAAAAAGGGCGAAAATTGTTACAACAATGCGGTTAAAAACTATTTTACTTATTAATAAATGTGTAAATAAACTATGTTTAAAAAAATGAGCAGTAGTTTATCCTAATTTTATGCCTACTATGGAAGATACTGGGAAAATGCATACGGATGTTATGTTTTTGCGTTTTCTTAGCATAATATTAAAGAAAATATAATTACCCAACAAAATAAGTTTTTAAATAATTTATTAAAACTAATATTTAATAAAAAAAAACACATTTATTAGACTGGATAAACCGATAAACCGTATTTTCCTCAAGGTTTTGTCAAAATTGTAATCATTTTGAAGGCAATATGGTTTTGAGATTTTTAATAAGGATTTCTTTTTTTTGATACTCCACATGGAGATGTAAATGCTTGAGGGCTGGGAAGTTTTTTATTTAAAATTTTATTTTGAAGAAAATTCATTCCAAACATACTATCTGAGTTATTTGTTAACTTGTACTTTAGAGAAAATGATCCCCTGTTGGCAACAATTTCTCCTTTTTCGCGAAATAAGCACGAGGCTCTATTTTTTTTAATTTTTGATTGTATACTGCATTGTTTTTATTGTAACCTTTTTTTTTAAAGATAATTTCACCTGACGGTGGAAGCTCATCGGCGGACATGAAGGTGTGTCCTAGTTCGAAATGCTAAATACAAATATCTTGAGTAGATATAGCGCCAGAATTTACAATAAATACAAGGAAACATAAAAAACTCCAATTTTTATTTTGACCTGAGCAGTTATCAACCCAAAGGATTTTTATAATAACACTGCAAATTTAAGTTCTTTAAAATTTAAAAAATCTTAGATTTTTTCTTTAAAAAATTTGTTTAATGATTTTATTAATTCTCAAAATGTATTAAATATAATATAAAATTATTTCATTTTGATTATCAGTATATTCTAAAAATAAACATGAATAGGGAGGGTATATTAATTAATTTTCATTAAAAACTTTTCATTTGCAAATACTTATCTATAAACGACTAAAAAATTTCTAAAATGCTTTTGTTTACTTTAATTAATTTTGTTTACTATTTAGTTTGTTAATTTTATTTAATTTTTATAATTTTTTATATTTTTTTATGATTTTATTTAATTTTATAGAATTTTATTTAGGTTTATGCTGACTAGAAAAAAGAAGTAAACCATGTAGTTAATGTAGAAAATGAACTCCATTCCATTCCATTAATGAAAACCATTCACTTTTCCATTATAAATTGTTAACTTTTGTTTAAAAACAATATATTTTTCTAATGTAAAATACTTTTCTGAAGTTTCATTTATGTGACTTCATCGTTAAATGCTAAAACGTGAATAGAAATTCCGATTTATCACCTAGTATATTTTCCGGCAGGGTGGCAGATTGATAGTTTTTTGACATTCCACTTTTAACCATTTAAAAAACCGAAAATCAGATTTCTCTGCGCTTTGACTATATGAATCGCTATAAAGCATCATGTCCAATATGTACGAATTTTTTGTATTTTATTAAAATCGTTTCCAGTAGCAAAACGCAACGTTTACTATAAAAAGGAATCACTTCCGTAATTAGTATTGGCATGGCAACGCTTTCAATATTCTATTTACTGCAGAAAGGAAACTAGTCCAGTTCTCAATATTCGAACTATCCTCACAGTTGAATTTAGTCAGACAATATTGTGCTTTGTTTATTGATGATTGTTGTCGTCTTTACTGAGGTTAATAATTATATTAGAATGAGTGGTTCAGATGAGGAATGGCGTGAACAAGAAAAGAAAAGGTTTTACGAATGATGACAAATATAAAAGGAACATAATAAAGAAGTTTAAAGTGGCTGGACAAGAACAGGTAAACTGGGTTGGCAAAACTGTACCAGCTAAAAAACTAGGCTCAAATTTTTACAGGTAAATATTGTTTTATTCACTGTTGTTAATTTGTACATTTTGGTGTGACTTATTTCACACCCTGCACCCAGGATTTCAGTGTGACTTATTACATAGTACACAATGGCAAACATACAAAAGTATGTAAAAATGGATTTATGAAAACCTATAAATACACTGCAAAGCAGTGTAACCGTTTGTCCCTTCTATTGCAACTAAATGAAACACCAACTGACAACACAGAAAAAAAACGAAAAAAACATGGTTTCTTTATTTTAACATTAGGAAGTGAGAAAAGGCTCTCCAATAGAAGGCTAGAAAACTACCCTTTTATTGGCTTTGCCCAACCAGTTAAAGATGCATGTGTTACATGTGAGGAACTAAATTTAAAAATAAATAGTCCTGTTTTGAACGAGAATGCAAAGCAAACAGCTGTCACTGAGCTAACACTATACAAGCGTAAATCTAAAAATTTCTATGCATCACTAAAAGAAATGACCACGCAGTGTGTCACAAGCCTGAAGAAAATGTTAGCATCTGCATAGATTTTATGGCCAACATATCTCTACCTTGTATTTCTGTCGACGATACCTATTACCTTAGACAGCTCACTGTAAATTTTTTTGGTGTGCATAATCTCGCGACACGGGAATGTACAATTTTTATCTATCATTAAGGTGAAGGGAGTAAAAGGCTCAAACGAAGTTTGTACTATGTTAGATTGGTACATAAAAAACAAAATTGGCAGTGGTGTAAAAACCTTTATCTGTTTGTTGACAACTGCGCAGGACAAAATAAAAATAATACTGTGATTCGCATGATGATGTACTTGTGTGAGAAAAAAAAAGTTTAATGAAGTCAAACTAACCTTTCCTGTTAGGGGCCACTCTTTTATGCCAAATGACAGAGATTTTGGCATCATCAGAAGAAAATTAAAGCAAGAAGAACGATATTATACTATTAATGAGGTTGAAGAGCTTATATTGAAATCATCAAAAATTGACGGCAAATTTTCTGTTATTAAAATGACTGCTGATGATTTCATTGACATCAGTTCATGGTGGCCCCAGTTTTTTATAAAAAAAATTGCCTAAGTGATGATTTGTATGGCAAAAATCAAAACAGGGCTTTTATCATATCACAATACAGAGATATGACTTTTTCATCAAATAATCCTAACACGGTTCAATATAAGATTAATATCGGTGGCTTCATGATGGATGAAATCAAACTACGGAATGCAGTACAGTCAATTCAGGCTCCTACTACAAGAGCATATTCAACTGCACCTCCAATTAACAACAAGAAAACGGAAGACATGAAGAAAACATTGGTATACATCCCGTAAGAAAAAATGAATTTTTGGAATACGATTTTGTCATGGCCAATTACACCGGCATTTACAGAAGAAAACTAAAAACTTACTGAAAATTGAAATTTACTTCAAAGTTTTAATTTGATTTAATTGCTTTATTTCATGTATAGAACATTGTTTTATTTCATTAAAATTAATTCTCATAAAATATTCTGTTTGTATATTGATACTCTTTGATTGATATTCTTATTTAAATAGTAATTACTTAAAAATGCCACAAGAAAATAGCTTCAGAACAATAATAAAACATATGAAATTATATAATTTACTTTTTAAATGATTGCAATTAAATTTTAAAAATTGTTTGATGCCCATTGATCATTGCTTAATTACTAACCTTTCTTCTTATATGGCTTTTACTTTATTCGTCAAGACACATATAATAATTTAATAATTATATTGGTCTTAGATTTAATTTTTAGGTAATTACGTATGTATTTAAATACATACTTAAAATTTTATTTTGGTACGCCACTGCAAAGTTGATAAGGGAAATATCCTTTCGGAGCTTTAAAAATGCGATGTTGCTAAAAAATCGTCTTTAAGTAAAAACTGCTTTAGTATACAACTACATTTCTAGATGTACAAGTGATATTTTTAAAAGAAAATCCTTTTAGAATGCTTTAGAAAAATACCCGAAAAATAATATAAATGTATTACTTACCTGTAAGAGGTATGTATCTGCAGGTAATGCTCCTCTCCATTTAACTTTAATGCTATGCATTTCTGCTTTAAGCAATTCTACAAGACCAGGAGAAGGAGGTCTATCGACATCTAAGTACCATAAATCTTTGCAGAGTGCCTAAAATAAATATTATTTATTCACTGTTTACAATTTAAATTGTGGAATTTATTACCTGAATTTCACCCTCTACAGTTCCATCTCGACCAGACCAAATGTAGAGTCTTGAACCAATTGCCACTGCACTGTGGGACGATCTGGCACAGGGCAAATCGAGTTCATTTTCTTGTTGGACATTTAATTCATCCCAGCTCATTGTCCCTAAATTCAGACATTTCAAGATATTTGTACACTCTTGAGATGTTTCAACTTCGGGGTTGATATCTCCTGAGAACAACAGTTGGGCAATTGTTTGAACAAATCCCCCAAAAATAAACATTCTGTGGCCAATCACTGTGGATGTGTGTAGAAATCTAGGCAGAGGTTGAATACCTGCTATTTTTGGTTGTGACCAAGTCATTGTAGTTGTATCCAGAAACCATAAATCACCTAAGATTGATCCGTTTACACCTCCATATATTATTAAAAATGAACGATTCTGTTTATCAGTATATGCTGCACCGGTATGTGATTTTCTTGGACAAGGAGTTGGGCCATGTGTTTTCGGAATCTCCCATCGATAAGGATCAGTGGTAATATCTAAGGTATAGAGGTCATTTAAATACTTTGGCGTAGTGTTCTTGGGGTCTCCACTAGCATTGGTAACACCACCAAATAGGTAAACTTTTGAATTTATTAAAGTAAAACTATGCCCTGATCTCGGACAAGGAGAATCTCCATTTATTGGTTTTGTTGGTGCTAATAATTTACATTCCCATATTTGTGCCTAAAATCAAAATTATACGCAAATTAATAGTAATTAATATCAGAAATCAGATCTACGTAACCCAATTGTTTAAAAATTTTAAATCCTTTTAATAATATTAATCATTGGTTATTGCTCAATGCGATTGTTAGTTTATGACATTGAAAATATCGGTGTAACTAGAACACGCTTACCGAGACGCTGACCTAGTGATATTTATAATGTAATTAAAAGCTTATTTAATATTGTGTAAAAATTATATTAGTAAAACATAAATGCATAAATAAACGCACGTGAATTAAATACCTGGATGTTATGAACGTACCTTTAGAAAGAGGCCACTATGTTTTATGTCAGATTAAGGTCGATTCAGACACATCAGTCCCGTCATAGTCTCGGCGCCGAACCGGTCCTATTTGGTAACAGAACTATCAACTATCTGACAGCTGGGAAACTGTTTGTCAACTGATGAGTGTGAATGCAGGCAACATTTTTGTATTAAAGAATATTTTGTATGACGGATTGTTCGGTTCGGCGCAATCACTGTGACGAGACGTGTCTGATGTGTCTGAATCGACCTTTAGGTTATCTGGGTTATGTCAATTGTGAGGGTGTCAATCTGTCAATAAATAAGTTAGTTGAAATTAGTTGAGTCTTATTTATTATAATACTATAAATATATAACATAATTGGCGACGAGTATAGTCGGATCTACGGGTCGTAGAAGTTATGGCTTTAATTGGTAATATTGAGCAGTTTAACCCTAAAAGTTCTGACATAACCTCATATATTGAGCGCATGGAAGAGCTTTTTGAGTATAACCTCGTGGAAGAAAATAAAAAAGTTTCAATGTTCCTCACTTTCATGGGAGGGGAAGCGTATGAGGTATTAAAGGATTTGTTAGCACCCCAGAGTTGCCACGGATGAAAACATATCAGCAATTGAAAGATGTTCTTGTTCTGCACTATAGTCTAAAACGATTAATCATTGCAGAGAGGTATAACTTTTATTTAAACAAACAGGAGCCAAATGAACCATTAAGAGATTATGCTCAAAAGTTGAAAAACCTTTCCAAGCACTGTCAATTTGGTAACTTCTTACATGAAGCCTTACGAGATAAGTTCGTTTATGGATTGAAATCAGATACAATAAGAAGAAAATTACTGACTGAAAGTAATTTAACATTCGAAAGAGCTCTTCAAGAAGCCCAAAGTATGGAGGCGGTAGATCAATTAAGATTTTTGGAGTCAGATACAGTGTTATCAAAGTTGGGTGCAACAAATAGCAAAAATTTACCAAAACAATCATCATCTGAACAAGTGCCAGTGAAATCATGTTATCGGTGTAAAAAGAATCATAACCCAGAAAGTTGTCCTGTGAAGAACTGGGAGTGTTACAAATGCCACAAAAGAGGCCACACCAATCGTGCATGCAGGAAAAGAAATTCAGTGAACACAGTGCAATACGATCATAGTGAGTGTGAGGAAAATTTCTTAGAGTTAGGTTTTATTGGTAATGGTTAAACAACCAGTTTAAAATGAGTCAAACAAAAAACACCTTGTCATATCAAACAATTAACTCCAAATTATAAAATTGCAAATAAATTCCAAACACCGGTGTTTCCAACTATTGCCGAAAGTAAAGAAGCCCTGATAATAATTCAACATCTGCAGAACTTAGTAATGCACAGCTAAATAAAATGCAAACTTTAGTAAATATAAATGAAGATATGGAACAAGACAATGATGGTTTTACGTTAGTCCACTCAAAGAAGAAAACTAGACAAACAAAAAAGAACATCGGCGAAAATGATAAAACTACCGACTTAGGAATTCAAAGAAAGGCTTGGCTTTACCTTTCTAGAGTTAAACGAAGTGTCACAACAGAAACTATCTTCGATTATCTAAAAGATCAGGAAGTGTTTAAAGAAGCTGATATTATTAGAGAATTACCAACTAATGAAAAACAAAACGAATGTTTTGTGTGGTGCCAACTTCGAATCAAAAGACGAAATCTATAAACCGTCGAATTGGCCAAGATCTGTCGCTTACAAGCGTTTCGATTTCCGGAAATACCAACAATATAATCGTCGCTCCGAGAATTTTTAAATAACTTCTTCGTTAGGGACTCTCAAATCCAAAGTAAATGTCAAACTTCCATAGTTCACCAAAATATCCGAGTAAAGTAGAAGTATTAATGCAAGTAAACCGATAAACTTATATTTCCCTATTTACACTGTAATATACAGGGAGGACTTGCACGTAAATCTTACGATATAAATTTGATACTTCAAAGTAATAACGTGAATGTTTTATGCCTTAGTGAACACTGCTTGAAAGAAGATAAACTTAAAGTAACTAATATTGAAAACTTTAATTTAGTGTCTTATTTCGCAAGAAATGATAAAGAAAGTGGAGGTGTATGCATATTTGTAAATAATAAGTTTAGTGTGAATTTTAATACTTTTATTACGAAGTTAGAACTATTGTTGCAGAGTATTTATAACAATAATGATTTTTACGTTATATGCGGAGATTTTAATATCAATTTTTTAGAAAATAGCAATCAGAAAAATATTTTAATAAACTTATTTTTAAAATACAATATTAAATTTCACATAAATGTACCTACTAGAATTACTAAAAATTGTTCAACGTGTATTGACAAATTTTTTCCAATTTAGATGTTCAAAAGGTAAGTGTATGTGACACATTTCTATCAGATCATACTTATCAATTATGTGCTTTTGATATGAAAGTTACTGGAAAAAATCCTCAAACTGTTTTTACCAGAAACTTATGCGATGCCAACTTAATAACTTTTCAAAATATTTTAGCTAATATTGATTGGAGTGATCTATATGTAGCTAATAGTTTTGAAGAAAAATTTTCAATATTTTATGATACTTTCTTATATTATTATAATGCTACTTTCTTAAAACGTAGAGTAACTACCAGATCAAAACAAAAAACGTGGTTTGCACCTCATATTAAGGGTTTGCATGATCAATTGTGTCAGATGAATGGATTAAGAAAACAACTCAATAACCCAGTTCATAAAAAACAAAAATGAACAATATGATAATCAATTTAGAAATAGCAATAATGTAATGAAGGAAAGTTGGATAATAATTAATAAAAATAGAGGTAAAAACTATCAATTAAATCAAAATTTAATATCTTTTGGTAACAACGGTGACTTACAAAATTATCATAAAGCTGATCAAATCAACAAATATTTTATTAATGCTGTAAAAAATAATAAACAATTAGCTGTTAACCGTACCACACAAATTGACCAATTCAATTCAAGTTTATTTTTATCACCAACCACTGAAAAAGAAGTTATATCTATTGTAATAAAAACAGCTGCAGGGGTAGACGAAATTGATGGAAAAGCTTTGAAACATGTTGCCACTTATATAGCTTTACCACTACCTTATCTCATAAATGAAGCATTTACATGCGGAATATTTCCAGATATAAAGGAATCGAAAGGAATCCCTATTTTTAAAAATAAACGATCTGCAACGGATATTGCAAACTATTGGCTGATTTGTGTGTCGAGTTATACTTGAAAAACAAAAAATAATAAGAAGAAACTTGGTAGGTTTACGGAAGTTACGATAGATGCGGCATCATTGCATCCTCTGGCGAGCGATATTGCTGCGATTGGTGCACGTGATCCTAGTTGTCGTAATGTGCAATAGGACTGCGTTACCCTTGCTTAGTTTATTTTAAACTGCCCCGTTGTATGTGCACATTTTGTCATCGCGCATTGTTTCTTTAAAATTTTAAAAGTATTTGTTCGATATGTCCACGAGTAAGCCTTCGACTTCAAAACGAAAATACGAAGATGATATTGCAATTCGCGATTTTCAACCTGCTTGGGAAGAACAATTTTTATTTACTACTCGTAATACTTCAAAGCCTGTTTGTTTGATATGTGGATTGTCTGTAGCAGTTCCGAAAAAAATTAACCTGGAACGACATTATAAACAACTGCATAAGGACTTCAGCAACAAATATCCTATTGGTTCACATTTGCGAGCCGACTTTATTGAAAAAAAAAAAAAAAAAAACCTAGCCAGCCAACAGTCACTGTTTCAGAAGAGAAGTGATGAAATGGAAACTATGGTTAAAACATCATATGAACTTTCTCTGATGTTAGCCCGGAAGAAAAAAGCCTACTCTGATGGAGAGGAGATAATTAAAAATAGTCTGGCAATATTTGCTAAAAATGTGGGAGATGTAAAGATCAAAAATATGGTCGATAATATTGCATTATCTCGAAATACAGTCATGCGCCGTATAGATGATATGGGCCAGGATGTTGTTTCCCAAATTATAAGTGGATTACAATCCTGCAAATTCTTTTTTTTAGCGTTGGATGAAAGTTGTGACAACACAAAAAATGCGCAGTTAAGCATTTTTGTCCGTTATAGCAATGATAATTTTGAAAATGCCGACGAGCTTCTGGATTTGCGCCAACTAGTCACAACAACAGGAGAGGACATTTTTCAATAGCTTAAAAACGTAATTGAAGTCAACAAAGTTGAATGGTCAAAATTAGATAGTGTTTGTACAGATGGAGCTCCTTGCATGGTTGGTAGACTAAAGGGGTTTGTTACATTACTGGAAAGCTATTTGGGAAGAAAAGTTTTTAAGTACCATTTTATTATTCACCAGGAAGCTCTTTGTGCCAAGGACCTAAACATGTCATCTGTTGTTGACCCTGTAACACGCTGCATTAACAAAATACGAGCTCGGGCATTGAATCGACGACAATTTCGAGAACTGTTCGCGGAAGAAACGGAGCAAGATGGAGAGTTACTTCTCCATTGCAGTGTGCGCTGGCTCTCCAAAGGAAATGCACTCGAAAGGTTTTGGAACTTGAAGGAGTGCGTCTTAAAATATCTTAAAATATTTGCAAGAAAACAATGAACTACCCAGTGAGTGCTCGTTACTTAATGATAAAGATTGGCTTTGGGATTTAGCTTTTCTCACTGATATTATGAGACATTTAAATCTATCAAATTTAAGATTACAGGGAAAAATTGTATTTTTCCTTCTCTAGTTGGTCATATATCTTCTTTTGTGAATAAACTTATGCTTTTTTGTAACGATTTTGGAGAAAAGAGATTGACACATTTCACATTAATGCAGGAATTAGCCAACAAGGTCAGTAAAACTCCAAATTATGACAGATTTAAAAACCTTATATCTATTTTGCTAGGTTCATTCAATACCCGGTTTGAAGATTTTCAAAAAGACAAAATGAATGTTGACCTTTTTATAAATCCTTTTTCTATTTCTCTGCAAGATATCAATTGTTACTCAGCTGAAATACAGATCGAAATTATTGATTTACAGAACCACACTATACTAAAAACCAAATATAGGGAAATTATTTCAACTGTTACTGATCTCAATTATATTGAATTTTGGAAATTTGTACCAGCAAACAATTTTCCTAATTTACACGAGTTAGCTCTGAGATATTGTTGTAGATTTGGTTCAACGTATGTTTGTGAGCAAATGTTCTCTATTATGAACATAATAAAATCAAAATATCGGTCACGATTAACTGACATGCATTTAAAAAATGTAATTCTGTTGGCTAGTTCCGAAATTAATCCCAATACAGATGAATTAATTAAAAAAATACAAGTTCAAATACCACATTAAATAAGTAACTGTTTAATAATTTGAATTTTAGATAATAAGAAAATATTTAAGTTTTTTTGTTTAACGTTTTTATTTTTATTAACAATAAAGTAAGTTTGTTGTTATGTTTTACTTATTACGTTATTTTTTAAACCTCCACTATCTTGACTAAACGGAAAAATGTGGAATTTACATAAGAAATACATATTGTACCGCATATTATTAATATATAGTATCCATATTAGTATGTCGAAAAATTTTAGTGGCACGCCAAATTTTTTTTGTTCTCATATTGGCACTTGACTTAAAAAGGTTGGCCACCCCTGCCATAATCGAATAAACATTTGTTTTGATGTAAATTAAGTATATATAAAAATTATTATTGGCTTTGTCAAACAGTTAAATGTAAATTCAATAAATAATTCAGTACTTAATATTTTCAACAATAATATAGATTGTACAAATATTCAATAACAATTACCTGTAACTCATAAAGTACATCAGTATATATTCCACTATTGTTCCTTCCTCCAAAGAATAATATCTTTTCGTTAAGATCCACACATTCAAAATAGGCACATGCTGGAAGATACCCTTTAATATTTACAAATCCCCACATATCTTTTCCTAAAAAATTTCGAGTGATATTACATGTAGCTAAATCAACAAATGATATTAGTCATAGATTCAAATTAGATCAGGTGGTGACTATTTTAGAATCATAAATATTTGAAAATTCCTTTAGAAAAGGTATAATATTCAGTTGTTATCAACAAGTCCTCGTAGACACTTCATCTCAGGACTAGCAACCTCTGTTGCCATACTGAGTCTTACGTTGCCATGTGTTATCTATTCTTGTTATGTAAAATATAACTCAAAGTTAATTTATATAACACTGGTGATAGAATGTTAATTCCAAAAATATTCTATGATGTAGCCTGATAGGGTTTTTAATGTTATACTTTTTATAAAGGAATTTTTGAATAAATTTTTTGTGATACATGGTATACAACCAGCTACAGGAATTTAGTTACCTTGTTTATAAATATTTGATATCATATGCTGAAATATAATAACAATTATAAATATGGATAGGTACAGAGCAAAATTTAACAGAGGTTGGAAGATTATGAAAATCTATAAATTAAGATCTAAACATCCGAACAACAGCGAATAGTTCTCAAATAAGATTTTAATCACCTTATAGTTGAAAAGATAAATCTGATCCGTTACCTCAACCATACTACACAAGAACATAAAGTTTTAATTAAAACCTGTCAAAATATTTATTTATTAACGGCTATACCATTTTTACATTGGAACAACATATAATATATAAAATTTTATAACGTAAGCACAACATTGGAAAATAATTAGTAAAGTTTAACAAAAACTAATAATTAATTTGAATACAAACTAATATCAAAAACTAATAATTAACTTGAATACAAACTAATATCACACAAATAGCAGTCTCTTTATCACATTTTTAAATTGTTCTAAGGACTGGAAAAATAAGTCCAGATCACTTTGGTACCTATTATATAGTCTCAACAGATTAGTAAGAGGCTTGAAGTATTCATAATTAAATTGATGAAATGGCAGATGAAATAATGAAGTATGTCTAGTTCCATGAAGAGTGTTAAGACCTAATCGATTTAAAAGTTCAGGGCACTTTATCAAATTATTAACAATTTTGTAAAAGAATATTAGGCAAAAATAATCTTTTCGCTGATTCATAGAAACAATTTTTAAGTGATCAGCTATCATACTATAACTGTATGGGACAGAAAGGTCATGAAAAGCACTACGGTAATGATAGTGTTTACCAAATTTATGCTGAACACGATCAAGCTTGTCTATAGAGGTTTGATAGTAAGGTCCCCATACAACTATTGCATATTCTAGTCTAGAGCGAATGAGACTATTAAAAAGAATTGGTAAAACAAAACATGAAAATTGAGAAGTGTTTCTAGTTATAAACCCTAATTGAAATGCACTGTTTACTGTGACCTCTAGATGATTACAAAATGTTAATTTACAATCAAAAAAACACCTAATTCCTTAACAGAGTCCTGCTTTGACAGCTGAGTGTTATCAATGCTATAATCATAATTTAAAATTGTTTGCTTTCTGTGAAAAGTAATAACACAACACTTATCAATGTTCAATTGTAATTCAATTAGTGAGCACCAATCGCTAAATCTGCTGAGATCCTCTTGTAACTGAATTTGATCATACTGACAAGTAATGACTTAATAAATTTTTTTTATTATCAGCAAAGTTCAGAAATTTTGAATTCTTAATGACTTTTTCAATGTCGTTAACAAAGAGGACAAAAAGTATTATATTATATTATATTATAAATATTTTAGATCCCAGAACATATCTAGCAAAACATTTTGGGTGAAATTGATATCTCAATGAAAAATTTTTAAAAACATACACACTATATGAGGATCCTAGAAGTAAAGGGGTATAAGTGACATTTTTGTAAATATTGAGAAAAATGCATCACTGAACTGGAAATCTTTCATTCTATTTGGAAGTAAAAAGATCTAAGCTATAAGTCTAACAGGTGTTGCTTTCTAGCGGCAAGTTACTTAGCTTCCAAGCCAACTATAGGTCCATAACCTACAGAATGGAATGACCCATTTATTTATGTGACACAAAGGTCAGGAATCACATGAATGTCAGGAAATATCATCTTGTCTCCTAAAATATATCAGAAGTCTTTCCCCACCTGTGAAACATAACTGCATTTAAAGACAACTGTGGAGGCCAAAATAAGAGTCATCTGACAGTCAAATTTTGGCTCTACATTGTCGGAAACACTAATATTCAATCATCACCAATTCAGTAGATTATCTCTTTTTTTATAAGTGGCCATTCTTATAATGAGTGTGACCAAGACTTTGGTTTGATAGAGTTAAAAAAAAAGAACCTATATGTACCTTAACATTGGATGGAGCTGGTAACTCCTACTAGTACAAATCTTTACAGTATAGATGGAAAATGATGATTTTTTAGACTTTCACTTATGCCACACTCCAACAAGAATGTAAGTGGAATACAGAACATACAATGGTTACATTTTCAACAGGACAATACTTTTAACTCTGGTTTACAAGAAAACAGTTGGAGGTATCATAGAAGAGTTTAGTGAGCTATCTATGAAATGTGTTCGAGCTGGCAAAAACTCTGCCCTTCTGCCAGAGCTCTTGCCAGTATTGATTGACAAATGGCCTCTCATTAAACAAGCTAAATATTCAAATCTTTAACAGTTAGTCGACTACATACCTCCAATTTACCATGAGATTCATCTGCGACATGATGGTCAACAAGCTGGAGAACTAGCAAACTTAGAAGCAGAAGTCAAAAATGACAATTTTGATCACCATTAGAACACTGATGTTGATAAGTATTAGCATTTATGATGAAGAATAAATTTGTACAAAAACTTAAAGATCTTTTTACATTTTTTACCTTTACCTTGCATTTCTTAGAAGTAAAGGGGTACAAGTGCTACTTAGCAACCTAAAAATAGCTCTAAAATGAGTAGTCAAAAAAAATTATGATTTTTTGTTACAATAATAATAATAATAATAATAATGCCTACAGTTACAAACCGGAGAAGAAAAACTAGCATTAAAGAATCATGTCAATTGCAGTGAAGGCTCAAAAAAACGGTATTTACTCAAAATTTACTTTTTGTTACTTATACCCCTTTACTTTTAGGGTCCTCATATTAACTGTAAAAAAACTTTAAACTTTATTCTTATTACCTGCACTATAGATATGCATCTTTGAACTCCTGATATCACCACTCTCACCACCAAAAACTATCATTAAATCCTTATTACATATTGCTCGGTGTCCCTGTGTGGGAACTGGCGGATGTCCATTATTGTTTGGTATCAAATGCCACTTCAATGGCTTATTCATATTTCCCACCTTATCTTGATTTAATAATAATTAATTTTGTACCTACAAACAATAGATTTTTTCAATGTTTATTTCTTAACGGCCAAACTAAGTTAACTTTAAAAAAAAGTTAAACACAACTGTTCCGCAAGCGCAACCCGACATTTCACGATTTCACGAAGCCGAATCAAAATGAAGAACTTGAGTTCCATGAAATAGTTATGTTCCATGAACCAACCAATAAAATAACAGCGTACAATAAATAAACAGAAACTAATGTAATTAATTCCTTACAAGTCGTAACTAGTTAAACTATTGGTAAAACCTTATTTGATGACTAAGTACAAATTACAAAAATACATAATAGTAATAATTATGTTGCAGCATGGCTTAGAGCAAATATCCTTGAGCAAGACGACACCATCTTTTTTTTCCGTTTCTAGTTGTGTCTCTCTCTTACATCAAGTAAAGGTCGATTCAGACACATCAGTCACGTGTCGTCACCATCTCGTCACAGTGATTGCGCCGAATCGAACAATCCGTCATACAAAATATTCTTTAATACAAATATGGCGCCGGCATTCACACTCATCAGTTGACGAACAGTTTGCCAGCTGTCAGATAGTTGATAGTTCTGTGACCAAACAGGACCGGTTCGGTACCGTGACTGTGACGTGACTGATGTGTCTGAATCGACCTTTAGTATAGCCACCGAACAACGGTTGTTCGGTGATACAGGCCGCGAACTGACGACAAGATCTCTTGTAGTTTTTCCTGTCCCTCACTGGCGCATTGCAACTCCTTACTCTCTCTCTCTCCCCTCACCAAAAGAGAAGCTGCTATACCACTATGATACCGGTGCCTGTATGTATTACTTAATGACGTAAAATGGACATCATAAAATAAAACATACACAATTAAAAGTAAAAACTAATATTTAACGATTACGAAAAAAAGAAAAAGTAAATAGTTTTAAAACAGTTTTTAACAGTAAAAGATGTCAGTATGTTCTGACTCTATTGCCAAATCTATCCGCTAACCTATCAAAGGGCAATTGCCAAAAAGATTTTCGAATAATTTATGGCAAACTAATATCAATCGAAACAAATATTACTTCATTACTATTTTATATAAGGTATAAAATTGCAGAATCCAGAAAATAATATGATAAAAATGTACCTTTTAAAAGCTTTATCTCTTTGTATTTGAAGCATATAACATATACATTCAAAGAACATGGCAACACTGCCAACGCAATATTTCGTTCTATGAAACCTAATCGACAGCTAATTTGAGGCTATCTTCACTTCACTGGGACCAATGTGAATGTGAAAATCGTCCCTATCACAATTGAATTGGGTTATTGTATGGTTTTGTAGAATGTGGAATATATTTTTTTTTTACACAGAAGTGTAGACTTCTGAAGACCACATACTGGGAAAGGCCCGATGGCAGAAGGTCAGATACCATGAAAGGACGCAGTGGCCAGTGATCTACGTAAAATGGGAGTGCAAGTGCAGCAGTGGGAAATAGCTGCTAAGGACCGACAACAATGGAGGGAAATGTAAACGCGGCCAAGACTCACCTAGAGTTGTAGAGCCAAATGATGATGATGGAATATATTTTTTTGGGAAAATTAAATAAAAATAGTATTCATCACAGCAATTATTAATGAATATTACCTCTCTATTAACAACTAAATAATGTGTAAAGACAAAGGATGTTCAGAGATGCGGACAGAGTGGCTAAAAAATGTTCTACAGTGAAATAGTTTACAATCGAGAACATTCAATATCATAAATATTGGTGGGACTATATTTTTGAAGGCACACTTACTGCTGTAAAATATCATCATGAGATACTTCTTTCATTCATTAATCAACTTAATAATGAGACATTTCAAAGTGAGATCAAAGACATTTTTCAACCAGAGAAATTATATTTAATATCTTGTTTTTAGTTTTAGAGTTTTTTATGACAAAATAAAAAGCAGAAACACTTCCATTCCATCAAATATCATCTCTCGTTATTATGTAATCTCTTTATATGGCCTTTTCTAAAATTTTTCATTTATTCATCACTAATTAACATTCTGCAAAACTTGTTTTTTGGAAAAGTTAGTGTGTTAAGATTTAATTGACAACCTTTTCAATCATTTTTTTTATTGTTTTGTTTGTATAAAATTTTATTGTTAAAAGAAGTATTTGTAATTAAAGTAGAAATTATTAAAGAATGCTTTACGGCTTCGAGCTGATGTTGAATTTTTTTTTTTGAAACAATTGTATTTCCTTTTGTGGATTTCGAATTAAAAAATACGATATTTCACCAATTTATATCATCATTCTGGCTTCAAAACCTTGTATGGGTCCTAGCCTCTTCAAGAATTTCTCTCCAGTCATCCCTATCTATCGTTTTTCTCCGCCAAGCATATATTCCCATATTTCTCATGTCTTTATCAATGTTATCAAGGAACCTTGTTCTGGGTCTTCCTCTTCTCTGACCAATGGATCTATCAAGGAGTGTTTTTCTAGCTGGGTCATTTTGTTCCATCTGCATTACATGCCCTATCCACAATCTATGTAAGTACTTTAAAATTTCTATCTACATTATTAAATTATATCTAATTATATAAGATATCAAGACATAGGAAAGTATTTAATAAATACATTACCTACAGGTACAATTATTCAATTATTTAAGTAATATTTCATCATTATGAATCTATGATCTGTGAAAATTATACAAAATATCATTTAAAATTTACATTCACAAATTGTTTTAATAATCTATATCATTTTTATTAACACCTCCAGTATAAAATGACATAGTTACAAATAAAGGATTGACCATATACTATCAGGGATGTTGCTATAAATTATTCATATTATGTCATTTTTTTTACCACTTTCTAATAAAGAGGTTTTGAATTTGATTTCTTGTGGCTTGGTTGGGAAACTTAGTAAAAAAGAACTCAAAGGTCTAAAAAGATAGAGTCCTTAATAATATTACCAACTGACAAGAGTATAGTAACTGTAGTTATGGACAAAATTCAATACCAAGAGAAAATCCAAAAATTAGTCACACATGACCATGTACAAAACTAAAAAAGGGCCCAAGCAAATCATTAGAGAACAATATACAAATACATATACACTTCTTCTTTGGGTGCCTGTCCATTCCTAATGTTGTTGATCATTCTGGCTATGATGACTTTGTTGGTTGCTAAATGAAATAGCTGTGTTGAGGTCTTGCTATACCATGCTCTTGGGTTAGCAAGCCAGGATGTTCTTCTTTGTCCCGGTTAATTGTTTGTCATAATTTTAAAATTTAAAAAACACTGAGGCATGTCAACTTTTAAATATAAATGTGAGCTTTTTATACATAAATTTAAATGTACAGGGTGATACATGCACCAAAGTAAAGTCGCACCTGTAGCGCAGTAACTAGTGTACAGTGTAGTAGTGTCTCTAGGCTCAGGAGACTGAGACCCCGGAAGATCTGAAGAGGATGTCGGAAGCTTGGCACAGTGATAATTGATGTGGTTCAACCTGGAAGCCTGGTAAGTTTAATATTTATTTTTATAATAATATTGATCTTAGTTTTAGGTTTAATATGTACATAATTATATATATATATATATATATATATATATATATATATATATATATATATATATATATATATATATATATAGAATTATCCAAGCATAGTGGATAAAGCTGCATATTTGTGAATTTTTTGCTGTATTCTGGATTTATCTGATTAATACTATATTATCCTGTTCGAATAAATAACTGTTTCTAATTTGGAATCAAAATGAAAATGATTTTTATCTCTGTTAGTACTTAATATCAAGTTCTCGATTCTATAGTAGATTATAAATAAAGAAAGAAATCAAAAAAAGAATTAAATATATGTTACACTTTTATACCAAAGTTTAAAGTGTAGTGCTTTATCCATTTACATTGGATATATCTAGAATGACTCACATAAATCAAGAAGTTATCAATCTCCTTTACCTTTTATCTACCCAATTTGGATAATATGCTAAGTATCTGGGTAAAATTAGTTTTACCCAATTTCACAGTTTATCCATACATGTATATATGTATATATACATATATATATATATATATATATATATATATATATATATATATATATATATATATATATACAGTGCTTGTCAGATAAAACTATCCACCTTAAATAACTTTTGAACTTCTAATTTTTAGGAAAAACGCAAAAACATGTCAATTAATATTTGAAGGGGGAGACATTATATCATATTTAAGGCTGCTGGGAAATGCACCCTTTCACCCCCGTATCATCCCTTTATTTTTTTTAAATTACTTCCCCCCTTTTTTTATTTGATATTTGGATTCTCCTCTTTGTACTGATTTCAGAAATGTATAATACATGATGCTTGAAGTGATTAGTTTATGAGAAAAATAAATACAAAAGCAAGAAAATTGGATTGAAAAAAAAATTATTTTTTAACAATTTTATTACACACATTTAGAACGAACATTTCACTACTAAAAATTTTTACAATAATTGTTCAAAATGTCTGCCCTTCACTTCCATACAATAGTACAATCTATTTTGAAATTCTTTTCTGACATTGCTTAACACATCTGCATTTAATTGTCGACATTCATCCTGTATTCTTTGTTGTAAATCATCTAGATTTTTGTTTTTAAATACCCCCATAAGAAGAAGTCTAGGGGTGTTCAATCCAGTGACCTAGGTGGCCAATCCATCATCTGTTGTCTTTTACCTATCCAAGGGCCGGGAAACGTTTCGTTTAAAAATTATCGCAAAGTTAAAGCAAAGTGTGGAGAAGCTCCATCATGTTGAAATACAACCAAATCATCGGTAAGGTTATCATCATTTTCTACTATTGTTCAAACGATCAACCACTTGCCTAAATAATTCAAGATACGATGCACCATTTAAGTTTTCAGTGATAAATGAATGTCTGATAATGTGATCACGTAGGATACCACACCATACATTTAGCCTTTGAGGATGATGTGTGTGAAATTCGCGTACAATATGTGGATCACTCTCAGTCCAGTATCAGCAATTATATCTGATCACCAAACCGTTTAA